AAGCATTGTTTCGAAATCAATCCATTTTATCAACAATTAGTGATAATAGTGTCAATTGTGGCCATAATTGTCATACTTTTGGTGATTTTGGCGGTGATCGCAATATCCAAGGGTTGGATACCAAAGGGTCGACCATCTAAGACAGTATCGCAGACCAGTTTCACCGACAATACATCCGTTTCAACCGATATATCAAACAAATAATAATTTTGACAAAATTTTATATTATTTCTCAACATATTATTATCGCAATGTTTTATTGTATTAAATGTTTTTATCTTTTAATAAAATGAATTTCATTTAAAAAAAATTTAAAATGTTTTTTAATTAAAAATACGAACAATACATCTACATAGATCACTATAATGTTTATTTTGAAAGTTACTTTGTCAAGTTCAGTTCTACGGCAATAGTAATCATTAACCTAAATAATAATTTTAATATCCAAGGGAGAGAGGGGCTGAAAAATAATAAAATATAAATAATTATAAATACAGTGTTAATTAATTGTTAACTTAGTAAATGTATGTTATATTACAGACAAATTAATGGTTTGCATAACATTGTACATTGTATGTACCGTTTAGTTAATCATAAATATGTTTTACTAGGAAATATTGTAATTCATGTAAATTATAATGCAAATTCAACATATACACAATAATAAACATAATTAACATTATAAACAATATGCTATGAAAATATATTATTTATTAAATAATGATATATTGTACAATATTATTTTATTTCACAATATTATGTTATAATGTATTAATAGATAATATATTATAATGAAGGTAACCATATACTTTATAAGATATAAATATTGGTAACAAAATAACTTACATTTAAATAAAATAAGCATTAAGATAATAAATATATTATTATTTTATACGGGCATCGTGAACAAATCTATGAATGAGAATTCAGTTCAGTTGAACTTGGTCAAAATGAACTCAAAGTTATTATGTAATAAAATGGCTAACATTATCATGAATTACAAAAATATATCAAGATTAATTTGTTTAATTGGATGCTGTGTTCAATTAACACATATTTTATCTCATTATTTCGCATACGAGACGACCACTAATGTTAACTACGAGACAGAGTCTATCATATCGTTGCCGGCGATCACTATATGTATGGATAAACTACTGAATATACGGCCAGAATTGTCAAACAGAATATTCCGAGACTCAAACACTGATAGCACTAACAAACGGCAACTCATTTATCACTACCTAAACAACATGTCTATTAGTGAACAGTTTATGGCATTGAAAACACCCGAAGACATTGTTGGCGATTGTATGGTAACAAAGACGTTGTATTTCACCAAAAACTTGGTTAATAATACCAATGATGGGACGGTTGACGGTAATGATAGTATCGAGTGCTCGGCCATAACACCCGTACGACTGGCCATAAGCGATGAAATATATTGTTTTACATTATTCTCGCAACTAAATGACGAGTCCGACGAGCGGTATCTCCTACACAATAAACCGGGTAAAAAAGGTACCGGCGCTCAGATGCTGGCCATTATGAACGCCTCGTTTGGGCCGATAGTGTGGTATCACTTGCATCACAGGCAACGACAGGTCACACAACCCTTTCAGCCGGGTTTCAAGCAAATCAAGACCGCATACAAACACATATTGGTTGAGTACAAGAAAACGGTGGTTCACTTGCTGTCCGCCCCGTATGGCCGGTACGGGTGTCGTGAGCGCCGGGCGGCTGGATATCAGTCTCTTAATGAATGTCTCAGTAAATGCCAAATGGATTTCATTGTCAACAAAAGCAAACGATTGCCCGACAATTATCTCATTTATGACCGGAATCTGAGTCTAAAGTTTGGCGTCGATTATAGTACAGGCGAAGCGCCGCTGATACCCGACAAAGACCCGGCTAATTGTGTGGATGTGTGCGGCCAAAGTCCCGACTGTTACCATCAATACTATCAGATTGTTCAGCGAGAAATGGCCGATCCCTGGCCTACAAATGCCACACCCGCTGATCAGTTGGTCGATTGGTTTATGTTTACGTTCCCATCCGTACCGATGCAGACATACAGACAAACCCCGATACTATTGATGGTTGAGTTTCTTTGCCTGATTAGCAGTATTTTCAGTCTCTGGTTCGGCTTTTCCCTACTGTTTGTGTCTAACCTAAGCATATCATCGATGATAACCCTATATAAGAAATATAAGCAAAATGTTCGCAATAATACTGTGTTTATTATTAACCCTGGTTATAATTTTACTCGCAAGCAACCACGAGCAAAAGGTTTTACAAGGCGCATGCTGGTTTAGATTCTAAAATACAACTTATAAAATATTATAAATAGAATTTTATAAATAAATGTATTGTTTGGAAATATTTGGTTTAAATTATTTTATTCCCAATAAGGTATAATTTAATTTTTAAAATTATTAGGGTAACACTTCTATTGTGAAGTGTTTCTATTAGTAATAGACTATTACCTATTAATAATCAGTGGCCTTTGTTAAACATAAAACAATTGTTATGTTTTATGTCAAATTCTGTTATTGGCTTATTGGTACATGGTATTAATTAATCTTGTTCCCTGCATAAAATAATAGAGTTTTTTTAAATTTTTAATTTAATTTACGACTTTATAAATAAATGTATTTAATTATGTTATTATAAAGTACATTTATCAAAAGTTAGCATAAGTTTATTAAAATGTATTTATCATTTCGTTAATTAATTAATTAATTAGTAGTACAAATAATAATTTATTATAATGATCATAACGATAAAACCATTATATCTATATTAGAAGTTACCTAGTTCACTGGTACAGTGATCCTAGTACTTTAGATACTCAGGGAAGTTACCTAGTACAATGATCACGAGAAGTTGGTTCGTGCGGTAAACCTCTGGCTTAGGAAACCAAACAACAAAAATGCGGAAATCGATAGGAGGGCCGGACTCTCGGTCCTCTCCAAACGGGCCGACATGTAATACTTGAGTAAACGGTACTGTATTTGAGAGATTAAATCATGATAACTATTATGTAATAATTTAATGGTCACAATAAAATTACTATTGCATTAAATCTAACTTTAATCTACATTAATTACTTATTTTCATATTCAAATAAATTAATAATGATTTAATATTTTCAGCATCTAATAAAGGCTAACTTGTTAAAAGTTATTTTTACTAATTTAGTAAATTGTTTGTAACTAGATTTGTAACTTAGAATATCTTAAATATTTGCAAATATATTAATAAATAACATACCGATCGGTAAGAGTCTGAATGTATTGTGCAATCAAAATGGGTATAAGTGTCGGACAGATGTATGGGCGCCGCCCGGGACTGTTCATTCACTGCCATCATTTGCAATATGGTCATAATTATAAGAATGAACTTTAATATTAACACCAATATGTCCGCCGCTATTACCATGATGATATCTTGTTGAATGTTATTATTTTCAAAGAGGGTAACAATTAACATGATGGTGTCAATCGTATCGATGATCATGTCCAGAAGTAGCATGATGATAAATATGGACATCACAATGTTGAACGCCTTATTGATACGGACCATGTTATCGGCGTTTGTTTTAAACATGCGCTTAATTTCACGCAACCGACCCAAATCAGGTGTATCGTCAAATGTGGTTTTATCCGACCTTACTATAAATTCGTTCACCTCGATGCATTTACATAAAATGGCCTAGTTGTTATATTTTAATTAATATATTTTGAGTCAGAAATTATGAATTGTTTAAATATTTGTTTAATATAGTAATCGATTTCTATTAATTTTATTAAAAATTTACATAAAAATATAAGTAACTTACTGAGGTGAATGTTAGATAAACAATGAATAATAAAGTGGTAACCACTCTAAAATACAACGTGCCAAAATAGTCCAGCTTGGTCTCGGTGGTATGACCATGATTAAATCTCCACGAGTACGTCGAGTAATTGAATGAATGAATAGCCACTACCACCAAAACAATTATAACCATTTTGACTATGATCATTCTGCGATTTAGTTGTAAAGTGCTATCAAACGTGTTGATTATGTTGCGTATAACATGACCATTTAACCAGAATAGGGTGACCGGTAGCGCAATTGGCAATATATCAAAGAAAGTACTTATGGTGTTTAAAAAGTACTCGGGTAAATCGCCCATTATCAACAAGGTAATTATAATATCGCCAATTTGATAGAGTAAGTAACCATCCAGAAACAGTGCGATAACCAGGGATATGATAGTTACCGGCAATAAACAGATGTTGGTCAATATATGCCTCAGCCATTTGCCGGTTGTGTCGATTGGGTCGGTGTTATTGGTGTTGGTGTTTAATACAGCGCTAAACACGGGGGCACCGGTTAGCACAAATGGGGTCATCACTATAGCACAGGTTATGCGCCAGAATTTGTGGACTCCGGGCGCTGGCAATAAGCGCTGGTCATTCATATCAGGTGTTAACTGATCACTGATTGTTGTCCAACCGTTTCCCACATTTGACGTATGTATCAGTTCTGTAGTGGACTCGGAGTTCATTACTGGTGTTTACTTGTATTATATATAATTTAGTTGTAATATAAAGGTTACAACTATCTAGTTAATTATTAAATTAACAAATCTGAGATGACTATTTGGAAATAGTCTTTAAATGTTTATAATATTATATTATAAGTTTAAATGTACTTATGTATAGCATAGGTAACCATCACAATTCACATATTAATATTTTCTATTAATAAAACGAGATTTATGATATTGATAATTCGCTATTTGGTCATAAAAAGATTACAAATTGTATTGTAATATTTTAAGGCAAATTGTATGCCGTAATTTATCATTTAAGTTAAACAAATTAGTTTAAATTATTTCATATCAACCAAGATTTTATTTAATTATGAAAATAACAATTTTATTATGTAATTAATTTTAATCAATCCATTATAATTAAAATCAATCTTTAAGTCTTAATTCGAGTACAACATTAATCAACGATATTCACTTTAAATGTGGCCAGGCTAACTCGGGTTTTAATGAGCTCATAATTAAGCATCCAGGTAGTGATTTCGACATCCCGTGGACCCTGGTGCAAAAAGTAGCAAGTAAATAAAATTAAAAATAATTAGCAAACGTGAATTAAAATTACCGTGGGCGATCCATATTGCGGTGCATCAGGATCTTCGGGGTTATGCTCGTCGTAATTCTTATCGGTGGCCATAGATAATGGTTGGGACAGTGTATACGTTTGGTTCACCACCACATCCTTTGTAAGCACACCACTGACAGCGTATCCATTACTTTGTCGGTACTCTCCTATGTTTAAGTCGACAAATATTTCCGATGTTTTCTTTCGCGGATCTCCCGCTCCGTCAAAGCCTAGTGTTTAGAGAGTTTGTTTAGTACAAAGATATTCACCTTGTTTTTGATGCAATACATACTGGCCTGGAGTGTGATCAGTACGTCCAGTGTTGTGCCCTTCTTGTAGATACAGGGCGCGGCTGTACAGCCCTGTATGTCAATCCGTTTTATATCGTTGTTTTCTATTTTTCAAATTATAACGTTTAATAAAAACTAAAATTTTAAGTGTTTCTAACTAGAAACTATAATAATAAATTACAAATTTATTATAAAATTCAATATAACTATCATTAATAAATATACAGTATGTGTGAAACGTACGTAAATTGTGAACGTCAACGACAATCGCCCGACAAATGGGTAAAACAATTACCAAAATGCTCAACAAGTGTTTCATTATTTCAATGACAGTAATTTTTAATACATTTTGAAGAATGTTTGCACTATTTATATGTTAATTGTTAAGCACAAAATATTTTCATGTGATCCAAACTTACCATGGTCATGCTATCTGCTTTCTACATAAAATGCCTAGATAGATAACGTAGTAATACTAAATATGCAATAAAATATAAATAAAATCATATGTGAATTAATGCATATGTTTGAACTTTAAGTAAACTGTAAGCGACCAAGTTTACTACAACTAAAACATAAGAGTGATCTTTTATCTGGTTATACTGTATAGTATTGTATTTTAGTGTATATTTCATGTGTACCGTAACTTAAATTATAATGATTTTCGTTAGACAATTAATAATCAGTTATGGCTGCAGAACACAAAAATTTTGTACAATAAATTGTGCTAATATATTGTAAGACATGTTTACAACAATTTATTATTATTATTATAATTAATAAAAATAAGCATAGGCATTTCTGCTCGATTTTCTGATTGTGAAATAGAAGAATATACCTGTACAACCAAATAAAATATTTGTATGGTTAAAATCATTAATTTTAAATTCAATTATTAACAAATTTAATATTTAATAAGTATTTTAGGAAGTGTAATGAGAAACATATGGAAAAATAATATAGCACAATGTTTAAACAAATGTTGAAAGATGTGGGTCATTTAATATTAATTTTGTTTTATACAAATTACCAATTAAGGTTTTATTATTATTTATTCTATAATATATTAGTTAATAAATCAAAATAATTATAATAATTTATATTATATAAAATAAATTATGATAAATATAACTCCGTTTGCATATAAACTATTGGCCGTCGCGTGGATTACAGCCCAACGACAGCTCATTCACGACAACACTTGTGCCCGAACTCAATGGCAAAGCAGTTATGATTTTATAGTCGTGGGCGCCGGGGCTGCCGGTGCTGTTGTGGCCAATCAACTCAGTCAATGCCAATCAGTGCGGGTCCTGTTGTTAGAGGCCGGGGGACCACAGAGTGCTATATATAATGACATTCCGGGAATGTTAGCAAATTTATTACAAGGTCAAGTTAATGAATGGCTATATTATAACGAACCCAACAATAATTATGGTAAAAAATTCGCCGGGGGTCGGGTTCCCGAACCTCGAGGTAAAACATTGGGCGGCAGTACAGCGCATAATCATATGGATTTTAATCGAGGTAATAGTCGCGGGTATGACGAGTGGGCCAATACGTACGGCGCCGTCGGTTGGAGTTATAGGGATGTGTTGCCGGTGTTCAGGGAGTGGGAGAACAATACGGATCCGCGTATTGTATACAATGAACCCGAATATCACGGAACTCACGGACCCATACAAATAACTACACCAAATAACCCTGATCAAATAGTTCCGGTACTTCATACGGCATTTAGAGATTTAGGATTTTATGAGACGGATATTAATGGCCCGAATCAGGTTGGGTTTACGTTGAGTCAAAAATTTACAAATACTTCTGGATTAAGATCAGGAACGGGTAATGTGTTTGTAGACCCGAACCCATATCCAGATAACCTGCATATAGTGTGCAAAGCATTGGTCACTAAAATACTGTTCAATGGGTTGACAGCCATTGGCGTCGAGTTTATAGTGAATGACATCTCGTATACGGTTTACGCCAACAGAGAAGTCATTGTTTCCGCCGGTAATTATANTTGGTCACTAAAATACTGTTCAATGGGTTGACAGCCATTGGCGTCGAGTTTATAGTGAATGACATCTCGTATACGGTTTACGCCAACAGAGAAGTCATTGTTTCCGGCGGTAAATGTTATAAACATTTTTGTCATTATTATATTGAGTACATTGGGTTCTAAGGAGGGATTCTACCGAAATGGTTTTTCCCATTAATGTGCGTATTGGTGTGTCTGTGCAATGCGTGAACACGAGATGCATTAAGAAATATTAATTTACATGTGTGATGTCATTCACCAAAACATATAAGGCTTTAATGCTCTGTATAATTAAACAAAAATGTGGTCATATCCCAGTTGCTAGTGTGGCCATTGGCACGATCTTATTACTGAATATCTATTTCGTGGTCAAACTTTACACAGACAAACCAACCTTCACCCAAATTAACAACAAGCTTTTTAGTAGAATTCATCCTAAGTAAATATATTATAAAATGTGTATTTTATTATATATTTTCATTTAATAATTAAGATTCAGGAATTCAATCTAACTTATATTAATTTATATCATTATTAGGTGCCATAAATAGCCCTCAATTATTGATGCTCTCAGGCGTGGGTCCAAAAAATCATTTAAAAAATTTTAATATACCCGTTGTGTTGGACTTACCGGTCGGACAGCATTATGTTAATCATCCGGCCGTTAGTTTTGTATCCGAAGTAAAGCCACAATATCTACATCTACTCAACCAATCGCCACAAATCAATGTCCAACAACTTTGGCAATTATATACCAATCACCGTGGTCTATTATCATCGTCAGTCGAAAATGTATTATATTTTAATACACGCCTTAACAAGGATGTAGAGTGGCCAAATGCCATTATACCGTTTGTAACGACTAACACTACTATATGGGGAATTGTTAATTTAGTTAGACTTAAAAGTGAGGGCACTATTAAATTACAGTCGACTGACCCACGATTGCCACCACTAATAGACCCGAATTGGTTTTCACATCCATTAGATTATGACAATATGATCGATGCTTTGAGTTTTTTATTTTATATACTCGAGCGGACACAAGTGGCACATTATATACAACCATTGCCCCCATTCTCGGCCATCGGGTGTCCCGACTGTCCGGGCAAACAGTATTTGTATGAATGTGTGAATGGATTGAAGTGTTATATCAAGTATAATACGGAGTCATTCAATCATCCGGCGGGCAGTTGTCGTATGGGAGCGATAGAGAGGCCGGACGTTGTGGTCGACCCCCAGTTGAGGGTTAAGGGAGCAAACAATCTGAGGGTTTGCGACGCCTCTGTGTTTCCGGTTATACCCAACGCCAACACCGCCTCCGCCTCTATATTAGTGGGCTATAAATGTACCAAATATATCAAACAGTTTTACAATTTGTAAATAAATTTATTTGCTTTATAATAGCCTTAATTATTTTTACAATTTAATTAATCAATTATGGTTAGAATGATTTAAATGATTTATTAGTTAATTCGCATATTTTGCTGCTTAGATTAGCGTTAATGTAAACTAATTAGGGTTGAATACATCAACTCGAAAACAATATTTAAATAGTATTACAATTTTAATATTGTGTAAATATATTTCATTCAAAATCATTTTAATGCATTTTTATTCAAAAATAGTTAAAACAACACTAATTGTAATGCTAAACAGCAACGTTTACTCTGAATGCGGCTGCAGCAAGTACTTTTCTGTAACTGTACCAACCATGATCGGCGAGCTCAAATACAACATCACGAATACCCTGAAGTAATAATTAATTAATAAAATGTATAAATATAAATGTCAATTTGTAACATACAAGGGGTGTGCCATAGTTGGGGCGAGATTGATCAGGGTCGTTCCATTCGTAGTAGACTTTGTCGGTACAAATCCAAATGGTTTTCAATACAGTGTATGCGCTCTTTAGGACGACAGCCTTTGTCTCGTCATAATCGGTGACCGCATACTGTCTATCGTATCGATAATAACCGGTCCATAGGTTTATGAATGTTTCAATGGTCGGGGAATCTTCCGGTACTTCAAAGTCTATTGGGAATAGATTTTGAATTTTAAATGGTATTTAAGTTATATTTGGTACATATTAACAAGAAATACATACCGGCCTGAAATGTGATAGATACGTTGATTGATTTGCCCAAGGTAAGGGTGCACGGCTCGGCAGCACAGTCTAGTATTTCCAAACGCTTTATAGCGTTTCCAACTATTTAAAAAGTTTCAATATTTTAATATATTTATTTATTTGTTTAATTAGTTAGAATTAATTAAACTAGTTTTTACAATTAAATATTTATTAGTGAACATAATGTTAAATGTTAATTAAATAAATAAATAAATCCAAAATGAACGTTAGAAATACTGACCGGTATTGCGGACCTCGACGTCGACCGCCGCACAAATTGGTAAAACAATTACTAAAATACTTAACAAATGTTTCATTGTTTTTGTTGAAATGATGTTTAATTGTATTTTGTAAAATGTTTACTGTATTTATACCTTAATTGTTATCAATTAATAAATACATGTGACCGATTGATTATTTAATATAGTTGTATGATATATTTTTAAAACTAATTACATATTATAAGTGTTTTGACAAAAAGCTTATTAAAGTGATATTGACTGCACTTATTGTATGGCACACAACGATCATGTACCCTAAAAGGAGAATGGTAAATCTAGTTAACCAGACGTTTAAAATTTAAATAAATGGTAATTTATAATTACTTTTGGCCAAATGAATATGGTAAAATAAAAAGATTTAATTAATTTCATTTTTTCCACATGGCATTTTATTGTTACAACACAAATAAACATGGTAAATCTAACCTGGTAGTTTATAATATATTGAATAATTATCAAAAATGTAAGATTAGAAGTATTTAATTATTGTGATGCCGTCTAATTTCCACAATTAGTGCATTTAAAAACTCTATAATGAAAAATTTGTTTTTGAAATAAATGTTCTCAGTAAATAAACTATGTTCTTTTGTTAAAATGTTTATCAATATGAATAAATTAAACTATTAAATCAAATCATCAAAAATCAATTCAATATGCTTCACTTCAAGGACAGGTATGTTGTATAACATAAAGTTCACGATTTCATTGTTTGCGTTATTTTGCACTAAATGATACAGTATTGACAATAATTTATTGTACAATGTACATTGCCAAAGATATGATCCTAAACACTGTGCAAGCTACGAGCAAAATAATGTAAGGTTTTACACTCGTTAAAATAATAGTGTACAGTATCAAAAGTTATTAAATCAGTAATTTAATGTGATTTAAAATCACATTTATTTTGTATGTTTTAGAGGATTTTAATTGACTTTTTGTTATTTTGAAAAGTGATTAAACAATAGAAAATTTTAAACTACTTTATTTTTTTTACTAATACACTTTTAATACTCGGATTTCCAATCACTCAATACAAACACTTGCTTAACTTAATACAAATATACAGAACTGTAACAGTACATAATAGTATTGTACCTAGCGTTGCCAGAAATATTTTGGCATTTCCTGGAAAATTTAATAATTTTTCGCAAATTTCCTGGATTTCCTGGATTTTAGTTGTCAGTCACTGCAAAAATACATATACTGATATTTTTATTGAATTTTTGTATTATAACGTCTTTTTTTAAATGTTTTTACACTGATTACACTACTTTCGTTAGAGATATCTATAAATCTCATTAAAAACACAATAAACTAAACCAATAGAGTTTGTTAAACACTATTTTTACAGCTAATTTATCCAAAATTTACTTCCTGGATTTTTCAATGTCCAGGAAATACCCCTCCCTGGACTCTGCAAAAATTGTCCATTTCCTGGATAATCCAGGACGTTCCTGGACGTCTGGCAACGCTAATTGTACTGTATGCGGGCATATAAAGTGCATATTTAGTACACCAGCATGCTTAAATTGCACTTACCTATTACGATGGTCGATCAATTGCACTATATAAAATAAAATGCAATTCTGGATATTACGAATGTTGCAAAATAAGTGATTATCATTTGATTAGGCTTGCCGTAATTTTTTCACGGGTTATACGTAACGTATATTATTAAATTATACATTAAATTAAAGCTTAATAAACGCTGTTTAAAACAATATATCACACAAGATATATTTTAATTACTATACTATTTAATTTTTATAAATTGTATATGGATTAAATTAGATAAATGAAAAAATAAGTCAAGGCCTAATTTTCGTTACAATTTAACCAAATCCTACATAATTTAGCATAATTACTAACAAAATAACAATTAGGATTTATTATACTGTTACTCATTCGTTTAGACGATAAAAATCGGTGTTAATTTAGTTAAATAACATAGA